AGCAAAACTAGGACGTGGGGAGTCGACAGTATATTGTGTCCTGGTTCGATCGTGTCGCCGGCGTCCAGCGCCACGGCACACCGATGTTGCCGCGATCAACATATATAAACCAGTAGCGTGCTTACCCCGCTCAACTTAATCAATATATGTTTCGAAGGATTCCGAACAATTTATCTCCTTATTTATACACATACGGTGCCTTCCAAGAAATGTCCTACCCGTACCTCATTTTTGAGCAGGTCAAGTTAGCAAGATGAAATCGGGGGTAACGAAACCGATAATAATAATAATAATAATAATAATAATAATAAAGTTTATTGCAAAAGAAAAAGTATAGCAGTAGTAGATGAAAGACAATATTATACAATAAACGAATGGACCCAAAAAAGTTTCGCAGAAACTTGTGCTTGGGCATGAGCTCATGTATAAATAACTTAAGACTAAAAAAAAAACATAAAAAATATATGTATATAAAATTCATTAGACAAGTCCTGGTAAAATTTTTAAAAAGACACAATCGGGACGGAGACGCAAAATCGGGACGTAGATGCAATCGGGATAGAGACAACATTGAAACAAAGGGCAATATTAGGTGAATAGACAAGAACAAAAATTGGTAAAAATAAGTCATAAAATGCAATAATTCAGGGGGTAAGAATTCAAATCAGTTTGATTTATACATTTTTTTTTTCATTTTGAACTTTCAAATATTTAGAGAGATTTCCGCTTTCAGTAGTAGTAGATATTTTTGATATCAATCGCTTGATGAATCTTGAGTCTGTGCTGGTCCAAAATCCACAGTCGTAGATGCCTTTTCATAACCTCTGTATTTTTAATATCTTTTATCTGAGGGGGGATTAAGTTATATATTTTTGGTCCTAGGAAAGTGAAACTCCTCTGACCTATGGTCTTTTTAAGCTTTGGTATGCGTACTGAATGATCTTTGGATCTGGTGTGATGGTCATGTGGGAGGAAATTTAATAAATGCTTATGTTTTGTAATATATGTGAACACACTCTCAAAATAGAGTTGCCTACAATCACATATCTTGGATACCTTATATATCATATCGGTTGGATAGGTGTTAGTTTTGCGGAACATGATTTTAAGAATCCATTTCTGAGTTATTTCTAGTTTCCTGTAGTATTTATTCATCACCGGTCCCCATGCCAAAATTCCATAAGTTAACAACGGTTGTACTAACGTTTTGTATATGGTGCATAAGTCTTTATCAGAAAGAATTTCCCTAAAAAATTTAAATTTTGGTATAAGACATCTTAATCTCTTCGTTAAGCTTTCTATTTGTTTGTCCCATTTTAGGTGGCTGTCTATTATGATTCCTAGGTATTTTATATGATTTGCTGGCTTTAGGACCACTACTTCATCTATGGGTGGTAATTTGATGTGTATGTTAGTGAATGTCGGACTGTTCCTATCATCACATGAAAAAGTCAGATATAAAGTTTTTTGATAATTGATTGTTAATATTTTATTATTGAAGAAGCTTATAATGACTCTGAAATCCTCTTCAATGAGAGTCTTTAAGATATCCCAAGATTTTTCGCTATAAAAAACAGCCGTATCATCTGCGAACCCGATAATTTTACCGTGTGTGTGTAGGTTAAAAAGATCATTTACATATAGGTTGAACAGGATAGGTCCTAAGACTGTACCTTGTGGGATACCGTATGTTACATGATGCAAGTCGCTGATGGAATTATTAACTTTTACACATTGATTCCTATCTGAAAGGTAGCTTTTGAGTAAAGTATGTGTTTTGCCACGAAATCCTAGATTCTCCAAAGTAGTTAGTAATTCTTTGTGTTCAACTGTATCAAATGCCTTCTTTAAATCTATAAAGACACAGGCCGATGGGTTTCCTAAGTCTAGACTGGTATACACGTTTTCCATCAAAACTGCAATTGCATCTTGTGTGGATTTTCCTTCTTGGAAACCATATTGCTGCTTAGATAGAAGTCTATATTTAGCAATAAAATTAGTAAAACGGGCCTTCAAAACTTTTTCAAAAATCTTTGAGAAAATGCTTAGTAGTGAGATTGGTCTATAATTGGAAATTTGTGTCTTTTCTCCAGATTTGTGTAGTGGCTTTACTAGTGCTGTTTTTAGTGCATCAGGGAATATAGCTTTGTCTATGCAAGTATTGATGAGGTACGATAAGACACTTAAAATGTTGTTACTGATTTGTTTGAGCGTGTATGATGTTATACCGTCAAGGCCTGGCGATTTATTTAGCTTTAGTTGGCAAATAATATTATTTACTTCAAGCGGATCAGTTGGTGCCAGATAAATTGAATTTTGTATTCGCGTTCTTTCAAATTTTTCATGATGCGTTATATTTTTTGCCAGTATTTCCCCTACTTCTGAAAAATACTTACAAAATTCATTCGCTGTATCTTTATCATTTATTGTGAGTTTATGTGTCGTCTGACTTTCTACACGATGTATATGTACTGGCTTTATTTTATTGTATTTGTTTACGAACTGCCACATTTTTGTTGGGCTGTCTTTGTTTTTGTATATATTGTTTTTGAGAAAGTTTGTTTTTGCCATGTTAATGACTTTGGTTAGCTTATTGCGATACGTTTTAAAGTCGTTTAGTAACTGAGCGTTTTCAGGATGATTTTTTGTAGCCTTATACAGTTGGTTTTTTTATTAATTGAATTTACAATCCCATTAGTAATCCATGGCTGTCTCTTTATCTTGTTACGATTTATCTCAATTGTTTTGGAGTTACTGTCTATGTATTTTCCTAGAAGTTTTACAAAAACATTAAATGCTTTGCCTGGATGCTCTTCATTGTACACATCATACCAGTTTTCGGTACTTAGGGCTTCATTCAGCTTTTTGTAGTTTATATATGTCCTGTATTTTTTCGTTGCTTTTTGTTTAAATTCTTTATTGTCTTTTATAGACAATTTTAGTATTATGGGAAAATGGTCTGTAATGTTATAATGCAATATAGCCGAAGAAATACAGTCAGATGATAAAAAAGGTGAATTTACGAAAATATGATCCAGGCATGTTGCACTACTCCTCTCCACTCGTGTGTAGCCGTTTATAGCTGACAAATAGTTATGTTCGGCCATAATGTTAAGGTACTCATAGGAGTGTGGATTATTTTCGTCCATAATGTCTATGTTCAAGTCTCCGATCAATAAATTGACATCAACTGTTTCATTTGATTGCAGAAAATCGTTCAGTCTACTATTGAATAACGGTATCTCAATAGATGGTGATTTGTATATACCTATTATTTGTACTTTTCTGTTCCTGAATTCGACAATTACTTTCAAAGCTTTTGTTTCATGGATGTCAATTATTTCAAAATATGTGCTATAACATTTCTTAGTATAAACCAGAACTCCATCGTTTTTGTTAACCTTCCCTTCGTTGTAAAATAGGTTATAATTGGGTATTTCTATTAGGTTCGTATCAGTTACTGTAAACGTTTCACTTAGTATCAATATGTCAAAACAATAGTCTAACATTTGAAGGAGAGCACATAGTTCATTGATATTTTTTTGAATGCTCCTGATATTAATGTGAAGCACCTTCAGTTCGGGTTCTGATTTTGTTCTAAGAAAATGTTCAGCATTTGTCAAGTTTGCAAGTACTGCAGTTTTAACTTTTTGTACTTTAAAATCTCTTATATACGTGTCCATATTTATTTATATGCAATATATAACAATGACAAGACACAAGTTTGCACTAATTGTCCACTAAAACATCTATCATTGCAACTATAATACATTACGTATTGAAAATAATGTTCCTGATATATCATTAAAGAAAAAACGTTAAAAAGGATTTATAAAAACCGGCAGGCCATAAATACCACCTAACAACTGCCTGTCAATAAGGGTAGAGAGGTATCAGATCATAGAAGTTAAAATATCAAGATCTAATACTATACATATAAATACACATACACACATATTCATATATTTTTGGTTTTTCACTTTTTTTAATGTGCTTTTTTATACTTGTTCGTCTCTACACTGTTCACTGTTAAACACTAGTATATCTCTTTTACTTATTCCCTCTGGATTGACTTTGTAGCCTTGTCTTTCTTGATTGCTGATCCATCATCTGCTTGCTTGTTTCTTGTTTCGCCTTCTTAGCTGGTGGCTTATCTCCAGGTGACAGGCTGGGTCTTGAAGGAAGAACAGAGCTTACTTGAATGGTGCTAGTCATTTCATCAACGATTGGCTTATTGAAAATTTCAACATTATCTTCCGAGTCACCAGAGGGCGTGGTTGGAATGCTCTGGGCGTCTAATTCTTCTATATCAGCTTCACCTTCTAATGCATCGACAGTGTACGAGTCTCCATTTATTATTAGTTTATCACCAACAATTTTAGCAGGAATGTTTTTTGCTTTTGCGGCTTTGCGGTGTTTCTGGAGTATTTTATTGGTCTGACGGTCCTTTTCGCATAGATCTTGCACAACAAAAACACTGCTACCTCTAAGCTTGTGTACGTTTTGAAACACTTGTTGTTTTTTGAAGTACGAAATAAACTCAATCTTAACAGGGCAGTTTTTATTGTTTATAACGTATATATTTTGTAAATCGTTGTTAGATATGTTTATTCCTAAAAGGTCGTTTAATTTCCCTGTTGCTATATCTGCTAGATTAGCAGTTTTGCTATCAACTTCCAGTCCAAATACGAGTATATTATTTTTCCGGACGATGCATGCGTAAAAGTGGCAGTTAGAAATTTAAAGCTGGCGAATGGGCGCCAGTTTGGAACATTTTTTAAATGAAACAGGAGGTCGCGTTAATTTATTTTGAAGCTTCCTATGAGTAATCCATAGCCTCGAGTATAATTACCCTTAGAAATGGTCAACTGGCAGGCTGTCAAAGTTGAGCGTTTTTGTAGATTAAGCTGCTTGCAACTCAACAAAACCAATCACCAGAAAGGTATATCAATCTTCTTGCAAGGATCTACCTATATTGTTTATGACCATCCCAAGAATAACTCATTGCTAATCCTCCTGAATTCTGACACCTAATAAGAGAAAACCAATTTCAAATATTAATTTTAAAAACTTTTTGTACACACTTATTTACTATATTTCATACAAGATATTAGCAATTTAAATTTAGAACTAGTACATTGTAATTACTTTTCAATCTAGCCATTCCTCTTCAAAATTTTTCCTTGGAAGACAATGGCAGTGAATTGTTGATTTCCTTATATTGGTTTAAACTAGTGTTAACTGTATAGAGAATTCATTCCAATATTAGGATTTTAGAAGTTATTCATCGTGATATATCAATCTTGATGTGATTGAATCTCGTGTTTGATACTACAAAATCGTATTTCCATCTTCCTGAAATGTTTTTTTTTTGAGAAAATACTGATGAAGCTATTAAACAATGACAAAAAGTTGATTTATTGAAAGTTTTTTTTTCTATGGCTGTTAATCTATGGTGGATTGTGATAGCAACCTCAAAATTTCGTCCCCTAGCAAGCTTTATTTTTTTGCAGATTGTATAATTGAATGGTACAAATTGGTACAAAGTTCCACAAAAAGAATGAATCATCCTTATGTCAGAGACATTATCAGACTGCCTAAGTGACTATATTTGAGATATGGCTGCCCAGATTCTTAGAGTAGCTAATAAAATCCTAGCATTCTATTGGCCTCAAATTTAGTGCTCTGATTACCTGATTTAGGTGGCATTAATTGGTACAGCAAATGTAATTGACTATGTATTTCTTTTGAATGTGCTAGGGGTGTACAGTGTTTCTAATGACTGTATTAGCACTACAACAGGTAAAACACCGCAACCCTGGTACTAATGGGGCTTGAGGTTTGATATCTAGTTCATACTTCATAACTTACAGACACAGACCATTTACATGTAATATTATAAGCAATCACAATAAGTCTATATAGAAAGTATGAAGATCACTTTAAAAAATGAATTATTCATCTGAGGCAATTAATTTGAAATATACTAAGTGACATATAAATCCGAACACCCAGTTTAAATGGTTTTATTTTAATAAAAGTTGGTGAATGTATTTATCTTACTGTATATAACAAGTGAAAAAATGTTCAGCCTTATCAGTTGGACATTCCGGTTTTTATACTGCTTTTTTTTAATTTACTAAAGTTCTAAAAATGAATATTTCAGCCGCAGTAAAAAATCAACGTTGGCGGATTTTGGTTCTTGACATCCTTTACGATCGGTTACGATGCCTATAGTACGGAGACCTGTACGATTTCGTCAACTTAGTGAGTTTGATAGGGGCCGTATAGTGGGACTTCGGGAAGCTGGACTTTCTTTTCGGGCAATTGCAGTTAGAGTGCAAAGAAGTGTAGACACTGCGGTTAGGTGTTGTCAGGCATGGCTTCGAGAAGGCCGTACGCAAAGAGCAAGGGGCACTGGACGCCGCCGTAGAACAACAGACCGTGAAGACCGCCGACTAAGATTATTGGCCTTAAGGGACCGTTTCTCCACTACCAGGTCCATTGCAAATGAATGGTTTGCAGAACACGGAAGACCTATTGGCATGCGAAGTGTTTACCGACGAATGAGAAGTTTTGGCTTGTTTTCATACCGGCTACACTGGGTCCTCCCTTTAACTCGAGAACACCGACGTAATCGCCTTGAGTGGTGCAGACAACGGTCACTCTGGGATCAGGAATGGAACACTGTTGTCTTTAGTGATGAGTCTCGATTTTCTTTAGGCATGCACGATGGTCGTGCCGGGGTTAGAAGGCGACGTGGTGAAATGAGGAATCCACAGTTTTTTGTTGAAAGACATGTTCATCACACTGTTGGAGTTATGGTTTGGGGTGCTACAGCTTATGGATCCAGGTCACCTTTAATCTTCATCAGAGGTAACATGAACGCGCAGCGTTATATCCACGAAGTATTAGAACCCCATCTTTTATCTTGACACCCTGGCAGATACAACTTTCCAACAAGATAATGCCCGACCACATGTTGCAAGAGTCACAATAGACTTCTTTCAACATAATGATGTCACATTGTTACCATGGCCACCAAGATCTCCCGACTTATCCCCAATTGTCTCCCGACTTATCCCCAATTGAGCACGTGTGGGATATGATGGGTAGGAGAATGCTCAATTTGCAACGTCCTCCTCAGACTCTAGAAGCACTTCGAGAGGAGTTGGTGGTAGCCTGGAATGAGATACCACAGGAGGACATTGACCACCTGATCAGAAGCATGCCTAGGCGCGTTGGAGAATGCGTAGCACATCAGGGTGCATCCACACATTATTAAAGGTCAAAGGGCTTTAAAGCAGTGCAATCATTTTGAAATTTTTATCATTTACTTATTATGCTCCATTAAGTACTTATACAAAATTTTATTAAAATAAAACCATTTAAACTGGGTGTTCGGATTTATATGTCACTTAGTATAACTTTAGACAATTCCTTCAATATCTTAAAAAATGTTTACCTGAAATGCAGAGAAAACTGTGCATTTTACATCAGATTCCAAAGTCTCTGTGGCACTGATATCATATTTTGGATTCTTTCTAATCATTTTCCTTTGATATATATTTCCATTTGCAGATTAGGTATCTGGTAGTTTTGGCTTTCTCCGCTTTTCTTTTGGCAATATTAAAATCTCCTGAAAAAAAAAATAGTTCAGTTGCAGCAAATATCCAAATTGTTACAATCCTAAATACTACTGAAGATGTGATTGCTAACCATTGCCACCCAATGAACATACTTGATATATTTCCCAGTATATTCATCAGGATCATCCTAATCATCTATTAACATCAAAGATTTCATTCCTCTACCAACATTCTACTGCATCTTCTTTTATCAAGACAATAATTACTCAAATCACCATTTTCTTTGATCTTCATTTTCAACCCTACAACCAGAACATATACTATAATGCTTCAAGTAAAAATTACTCTTATTCATTCATCTCAAGAAAACCATCTTTGGACGCTCTTTGTTTTACAGTCAAATAATCCACGTTCAGCCCAAAATCAGCAGATAAATTAAGTGAAACAGATTCTTTCAACGTTGGCATGAAATTAGTTTATAAAATACTTTGTGATTATAGTTTACACTCGATATGTTTTTGTAATTATTTCAAGTAACATCTCAATAACGTAGCGCTGAAACATGATTTTTCATAATATAAATATCTAACTGCGTCAAAAGCGGATACACTTTTAATTCCAAGGAAAATAAGATGAATGTGATCAACAATTAAGTGGAGAAAATATTTCGACAAAAATGAATTTACAAATTCAACAGGTTCTGTTAGCAATGACTTAATTTAAGTGTAGATATTACCCATAAGTCATATGCTTCCAAAATGACTCATTTTGATAATTTTGTGGTAGACCAACATAAAGGAGTCTGCAAGTATGGAACAAATAATGAACCAATAACTTTTGAAATTGTTTCGTTTTATACTGTGAGGAATTATATCCTGGTACAATAGGTTCACCATTGTGTTAAAATACAGTAAATCCTCTTCTACAACTTGTGTAGGTGAATAACCCTGTACGACGATTGATACCAAATATATTTGATTCATTAGTAGCATCACATATGTTGAAAAACATTACATTTACCATTCAAAATAAATCCATAATGGTGTAATTCAGAAATCTCTTGCACTAAATCATACGAAGCCCTTTTGGCTTTCACTGCACGAACTCAAACAAAAATCACAAAAAACAGAAGCATTATTACAAATTATGTTATTTACTCTTATAAAAATTTATTATTACTTGAAGAGATCACGGAACCATTGTATGACAGGCTTAGGCCCGTATCGTCAGTCGTCCCTACAATTGTAGGGCGGGTTTATGGCCTCCTTGATTGTCATACTCCTTTCTCTCCTTGTTCCGTGTCAGCATCAGCGCTCTCCTATTGTGAAGATATGTTTTCTTTTTAAATTGTAGGAAATTTCAGGCTGATAAAACATGATATAACTCAAAAGCAAGCACAATTTGATGCACGAATAGATGTTTGTGACATAACCTCAAAATAGAGCGCTGACACGGAGAAGTAGAAAACTATGACAATCAAGGAGGCCATAAAAGAGCCCTACAATTGTAGGGACGACTGACGATACGGGCCTTAAAGATCCTGATATTAGTGACAGATGACACGTTATGACAGCTGCCAGTCAGTTAAGTAAAAAATTTTAAATTTATGTCCTTTTAACATTGTCCTGTAACCATTGTTGAGGTGTCCATTGTCTATATTCTTTAGCCCATCTAAGCCGATTTTTATTTTGCAGTGGAGTTAATAGTGGCTTTTCTTTGGCCTATAAACAAGTTGTGCAACTTTAGGGTTATTACTTCACTTTTTTTTATAAGAAAACTTAACTTGCAAGTGCTGAATCCCAGTTTGTGGGCCTCTCTATGAGTTGTGCACCTCGAAATTCTCCTTCCAACAGCGTCACTCCACAGAGCACTTAATTGTAAATAATTGGCACGCCTGTTTTTCACGATTATTCTTCTTAATGCTCTTCGATCGGCATTTGTGATATTACTTTTTTTCACATATCGTGGCTTAATATTAACTGAACCAGTTACGTTATATCTTCTAACAATATTTCTCACACTGTACCGCGATAAGTCTAACAAAGTTGCAATTTCTGAGTTTGATTTCCCAGAATTAAAAAATTTAATTATCAGTATCCGAATTTTCTCACTAATAACCTTTCCTCTACCGATTTTGAAAACCTTAACTACCCAAAACTATTTTAAACGTAACGACAGCTGTGATTAATAAAAACAATTGTCATGGCTTTTATTTTTCATAGCCACCTATGCGTTATAGACTTACTTTGCATTGAAATGAAAATAGGTTGATATGCTGTATTTGCAACATGTGTTATTTTTATGCTACAAATTTGGGAAAGGGGCTCGTATATAAATAAGAGAGGTATTCATGCAATCCTGGGACACCCCTTATAATATGCTTTGGGCAAAAGAGTTCTGTGACGCCATGAGGGTCCGAGGTCCTACAGGCAAACATTTTAGAACTTGACTTCATCGTCCTGAGGGCGAGTCGTGGGGTCTAATGCAGATAGAAGACATACTAATGATATGTACCGATTTCTCTCATAGTCAGAGTGACTTTCTCTCGCTATGTTTTTGGTCATATTTTTTAATCGTCGAAGATTAGTAGAACCGATAAAAAACCTCTTGGAAGTTCAAATTGAGAAGCTTAACAGCGCAGAGAATCATGGGGTTCAGAGGAAGAAAGCCGGTTTGCTTCATAAACACTATAATAGTTATCGGTAAGAACTGCCACATAACTTCCTTTCCTGAACCAAGAGCGACGCCAGTGACGCAGTTACCGACGCCGGCAGCATCGCATCGCAGGTGAGATTGAGCAGAGTGGCGATGGTTCGCGCGTCGGGACGCGTCGCGACGCTCTGGCCAACCGGCCGGTTGATCGATACGCGGACGCCGACGTCGCCGGTCTCAGTTGGCTTTGGCGGCCACCGGCATGCACCGTCACTTGTTCCGCGATCACGGCCGACTGCGAATCGCCACTGCATCGTCGCTGCCGGAATTTTGGCGCGAAAATCGGGATCTCGCGGAAATGCAGTCAACAGTGCATTATATAGATTGCTGCCGGTTGTAGATCTGGTTGAGGGATAAAAATGGACTGTTGTAACTGTCTACCCTACAGGTAAATTACTAGCGTAGATGTGGGTCGCTCAAACAATTATTCTGGTGGCAATTTAATTAGGGCTAATATTGATTATGTACAGTAGGAATGCAACAGAAACAACGATTTCACCCAAATGGTGTTGAAATCAATCATTTATCGGTTTTCAACTGCAAATTATAAATAATGAATAGCCCTTTTCGATCGCTCAAAATAAAAAAAATCGAATCAGGTCTGATAATTCAATCTTTCTTTTCATAATTGTACCCCTTGGAGATGGTCTACTAGCTGAAGGTTTCACACATAATGGAAGCAGCGAAGGTGGGATTAATGTCACCATAAAACGCGCAATAGACCTGACAAAACAGAAATTCCCATTATCCAAGCCAAACTACTACGAAATTGAGAAACCTCTTGGTTCTATACAAAATAGTTATCATAAAATACTGTGCTGTTAATTTCGTGTAATGCTTGCAGTTTTTGCACATGTATCACAATTTATACACGGCAGCTTAAAAAACCGTTGCATAGATTCCGAAGTGCCTCCTTATGCGGTGTGGATGAAAATACAAACAAAAAACTTTGTACATCAGGTAAGAACAGTGTACCAACCATATACAAAAAAATCATGGCACTATCTATACTAATGCCTTAAAAACTTGACTAGTTTCACACATAAAAAACCTTTTCTACGCCACTGACCTTTTTGATTGCATTGGACTGCATTTTTTGATTAAGGTATTAACTCTATATGAATATTCTTCCTTCAGAAATACATAGATATCGTTTATTTTGTAAGAAAATGGGCTTGAATATTCGGGATGAAATCATATAAAATAGTTAAAACTTTGCTACTTTAACTCGGTAAGCGCCTTTTCTAAATGGACCTGAAGGCCTGTACTTTCTCGCTGATTCAAATTAGTTGAAAAAAATGTAGTACCATATATGCTTGTTTGACCCGCTCAATAGTAATTAAAAAAAAAAAAACGTATACTTGTTTCAATGCTGATTGCTTCACTGTGATGCTTTTCTGTAGGGCTCAGTACTTCCATCACTCGCCACATCAGCAGTACTACCACCATCAACATGACCCGCTGCCTCCGTACCCTCAGCAACCGGATTATAGCTTCCATCACCCGCAGATGTATCGACACGACTACTACGGAGGTCCTACGGGGCCTTACTATGACCCACAGCACTGGGCTCAGCCCTCTGGGTTTGGTCTTCCACAAGGTATATACAAATGCATGGTTTGTCATAAAATCAGTCAAAGTAATTCTATCAAAATCAATTTACAAAAATTCATTTTGGTACACCTAAGAGGATGCACAGTACAGAGCTCAGTCCTCTGGGCTCGGGCTTCCACGGGGTACAAGTATTGCATGATAAAATAGTACAAATTAGAAATTGAGTCTAACAAATATGTATTTTGGGTATATGGTAGGCACCTAGGTCTTTCTATTACACTACATAATACTTACACACCTGCATAGTATAAATTAGAAAATCATTAATAAGATTTAACGATCGTCAAAAGCAATTTGGGTCATTCTGGAGGTTCCTACAAGCGCCACCTGCAACCCACAACACTTTTAGAAGTTAACCATAACAAATACTAACTAAAGATAACTTTTTGTGAAAGTGTACTAGTTCCCAAAACTCAAAACTTTTGAAGAGCGCAGCGTAGTAAATTTTCTCAAGGGGGAAAATCTCCAACGGGATTCAAATGGACGCCACACCCTCCCTTGGCACCACCTGCGCCCGCCCATACACGGTTGCAAATTAGACTGGAAAGTAACTATTCACCAAACATGTTTTTTTGCAAAATTTGGGCTAAGTAATAATGACCTCAAGGTCTAGCTCTCTCAGAAGATGTGACTATGTCGGATATTAACTGGCTAGAGGACTGGGCACAGACTGAATAGGAGCTGCTTGCTATCCATCTCTGTGACCACAGCCAACCGGAGACATCGTTGTTTCATGCGATTAGTAATCAAGAGTACGGTATAGGTCTAGTCATTGGTGGCAATGTCACCTCTTCGCTCGACTGGGCACACAGGGCAATAGCGGAGGTACGATGGAACAAGGAGGACTGAGGCAGGCCAATAAGTTGATAGTAGGCCCAGCAGATTAAGCAATATCTATTTTTATGAGTATTGTAAATATCATATTCGCTCCGAAAGCTAAAAAACATAAGCGTATGGTGTATCTAAGTCTGATCGAGAACAATCTTGCATCGGTTCGAAGATTCGATGCACTCTGTGCTCTTAGCAGAGAGAACCGAAGATCGTCTAGTTTCTATGCTTCACATCCTATTGCAATACACCCACCACGTAAAGGTAAATCTCAAAACGAAAGTGAAAGATCACTGACGAGGCTTTGATGACAAATAACAAATGAAAAAAGAATAGTATTTACCAATGTCTAGTGTAACTTGTGAAACTAATTAGATGGTTATTTTGAAACTTTTTTAAACCTTACAAACTTTTAAGTCAGAAACCATTAAAGTTCTAGTTTTTATATTTTCTTCAATTACGATTAAAGTTTTATATCCTTTAGTTCACGAGGAAGTTATTTTATTGTCGTTTCCAGAACTTCTACATGGACAGTAGAGTAGAGTGAGTTAATCCAAAAAATGAAAATTATCAGATTTTACTGTCATTTCACTTCCCACGACCGTTAGGAAGAAAGTTTTGTAGTCGCCAAAAATTTCGAAATCGAATTATCACGTTTCTCGAATGTTACATGGCATTGTGAGAAATCTTGATACTGATCTTGCTGTTATTTGTTCAGTAACTCTTGGCGCCTCTACCCGGAAAGAACTGCCCAAATTGATGGAATTTTGACATGAGTGAAAAATAAATTTTTCTACTTGGTGGACATTTTTTATTATGGCAAAAATTATTTTGGCGGTTAAAATTAAATGTCCATAGTTCTTTCATATTTAATTTACTTCCTTTAACGAAGCTGTTCGTGTACAACAAAGTTTAAAAATATGCTTTGTTATTTATTTTGTTATCTAGGTTTCCAAAGTTTTGGGAATCACAATTATCACATATTTTGTGTACCAACATACCCCCTGCTCCTCAGCGTTGATGAACAGTATCTCCTAATCTGTGCCAGCATATTTTTAGCGTACCTTGACGAATGCCTACGTCATGGTGCATCTATTGACATTTCGCGTGAGGAGGATGTGCCGGCATTTGCCGCAAGTAGGAGCATCAGCATCAGATACGCCCCCTTTCTAGCGCTTCTAGCTTCAGCTTCTCGCTCTCTTGCTCCGCGTTTCTGGGTTAAGCGTCTGGGGAGGCTGTAGCACCGTAGCACCGACGTCATCTCCACTGTCGCTCGATCGTTCATCCAGATACAGGGTGACAGCAAGGCTTAGACGGGAAAGAGATAGTCATAGTCTGTTACCGAAAAGGAAGAGAGCTAAAAAATGTATCGCTCGCTACTGCTGGCGACGTGCCTTTGAATTGACAAAGCTTTTGTACGCATATTGACAGTGGCGTGCGATGTGTTTTGCTGCTGTCTTTTCGATACCCGAGTAAAGTGGAAGGAGATTTCAAAATACGAGGTTGAAGTAAATATTAACCGGAATTATTTTTAACACGCTTATATCAGCTTGGCCTGTATGTATATAACGGAATCTTTGAGCACAATTTTCACCAATTTCCAGAAGTTTGATTAATTTGAAAATTCGCACACGTATCAAAATCCGATGACAATGCAATAATTTGATAAAAGTTTTCAATTATCCTTATTAGGACCGCCAGGATTGATAGATCCTCTGTAGGGGAGTAAGAGACAAAGCTAACGCACCATCTGCGCATGCGTCCAGTTTTGGACTTACTCTTTGTAGGTTCGGGCACTCGGCACAGCACAACGGAGGCAGATACTTTTTCAAGGTAGTGTTGTTCATTGAGAATGTTGCCATTAATTCTGAGTCCACAAGATTAAAGGTTGTACAGTCGATCATGCAGCCATTTATCTAGGCTCGCGACTGTTTGCTGCTGGACAAGCTTATGTAGCACTTAGTCGTGTAAGATCTTTAGACGGTATTCGGATTGAAGCACTTGATTGCTGTAAGTTAACAGGAAAATCTCCATGCAACAGTGAAGCTTCAAATGAAATGATTAGAGTACGAAATGATTCGTAAGACATTTCAATACCACATGTCCCCAAAAAACTAATTGATAAATCGAACTAAAAAATGAAAAATAGATAATAGTTTGAAAAAACTAAAAAAAAGACGCTTTTATAGCTAGCCGAACTAAAAAGTAGATAATAATTTTTAATTACAAATATTTTATATTACAGTAGTAGATGGACGAACAATCAATCATAATTAATGGCCTCAAAATAAAATTATAATAAAATTTAAGTTACTAACAGAACAATTCATTTCAGAGTAAAAAGCGTGTGGTGCATTTTACAATTTCATAACTCTCCTCTCATAGATAGTTGCCAACAGAATGATTGTAACATTTGATATATTAAGCACCCCACGCTTTTTACTCTGAATTGAATTATTCTGTTAATAACTTAAATTTTATTAAAACTTTATTTTGAGGCCATTAATCATGATTGATTGTTCGACCATCTACTACTGTAATATAAACTCTTTTATTATCATTATATTATTATTTTCTACTTTTTAGTTCGGTAAGCTATAAAAGCGTGTTTTTTAGTTTTTTTAAACTATTATTTATTTATTTTAAATGTAAACCACAAAACATTGACACAAAATAAACAGGTATAAACACAAACAAAAAATCAAGACTTCCAAAGTATTACCTACAACCGATAACCGTTACAAAAATCGAGATGGATTTTTCCACGAGCGCGAGACTTTCGCTTTGTCTATTTAGATCAGAGTTCCCCAAACTTTTTTGTGTCGTAGACCCCTTGCCATGTTTTTCCGTGTTGGGTAGACCCCCTACTTACCTGATATTGATTTCCTGTAAATTTCTAACTGTAGTGAAGTTTAGTGTTAAAAACTTAAAGTAAAAACACATGTTAATTTATACATTTATTAATTGAATTTAAATTAAAACTACTCAAAATAAAATTTTGTATCTGTTATGTAAAATATACTAACATTAAATAAATAGGTGTCTGACCAATAAGTGCCCGCATTGGGAATAACTGCCCGCATTGAAAAAAAAAAAATAACAGGGATAAAATAAAAAGGGAAAAATAATAAAAAAAAGTGTTTTACTTAAAATAGTACAATAAGCGAGTTCGTTTATTAATTATAACATAAACGTATGTTCTACAATAATTTCACTGTTAGTTTGATCAAATTCCGCTTCTTATACGTTTAAGTTATCTAAAAATAGGCAAAAAATCAACAAATTTTAGTGTGTACCTATCCTTGAATTTTCAGAATAATTTAAAAAAAAAGAAAATATTTTCTATTTATATAATATATATAAAAAAATCAATGCGGGCACTTATTCCCAATGCGGGCATTTATTGGTCAGACACCAATAAACATAAAATAAACTATAAATAAAATAACATAAGCAATAAGTCAATATTTTTAGTGAGAAGGATGAACCTGATGCTTTAATAATAAATTATCAACATTTGGCGTCAATTTTGTAAGGGTTAATCTTAAATCTCCTCGGCTAATGATGTCCAGTCTGTTTCTTTCTTTCGTTAGTAGATTGGTAACAGCGCTGAACCCCCTTTCCACTAGGTATGACGATGGAAAGGAAATTAAAAATTTCCTCGCTATATTCCATAATACGGGATAAGTAACGGGTTTGTTGTTTTGCAGCCAGAATTGCTGATATCCGTTTTTAAACTGAACCTTAAGTTCTTCGTTTGTACTTAGTTCAGTCAGTTCCTCTTGTATTATGACATTCGTTTCTTCTATGTCACCAAGTGGATTAATTATCAACGGTGGTATTACCATAGTCAAAATATCCTCAAACCTAGATTCAAAATCTGAATAGAGGGCATTTAAATGTTGAACGTAAGTTGAAACGTCGTCTTCCTGGCAGCTTGTCTGTGACAAATTGGGGAACTGAGAAAATTCGCCCCGTCCAATATTTTGCATCATTAGTTTAACTCTGTCAAGAAACTCTGATAAGATGGACTTTGTTTTAATCAAATTCAAACTGTCGCCTTGTAATTGCAAATTAACCATATTAAATTTTGTAAACAAATCTGTTAAATAGGCGATTTCTGTTTTCCTCTTCATTAAATTTTCTTTTAAAATTTTATCTTTAGTATCCAGAAATTCTAAAATAGTCTCAAAAAGTGCAAAAAATCTTGTCAAACATAAGCCTTTCGACAGCCAGCGTACTTCAGTGTGAAGGAGTAATTGATGAAAGTGTTCATCATTTTCTTCACACAACTGCGCAAATAACCGCCTATTCAACGCGTTGCTTCGGATTCGGTTTACTGCATCAATGACTAAATGAAGTGATTCATGCAATCTAACACTCAAATTTTTAGCAACTAAATGTTATCGATGGATGACGCAATGTATTGCTAACACCCCTGACACATTTTGTTTTAAATAGCTTATAAATCCACGATAACGTCCAACCATGGTAGGTTGGTAGGTGCTCATCTGTAGCTACTGATATTATATTTGATAAAGGAATTGCTTTTTCAATGAAGTAATCCTTCAAAACATGAAATATTGATTCACCTTTAGTGTTGGTTATCAAAGTTCTTGCGAAGAGCAGTTCTTCGTAGATTTCTTGATTCATAATGAAACGAACATATGCCAATAATACTGCTGCATTATCAGGTAAAGTTGACTCGTCCAGTTGTATAGAGAAATGGGTCGTTTGCAAATAATTACATAAGAAGCTTTCAATATCAGAACTCATTTCATCAATACGTTGCTTAAGGGAATTCTTTTCATATCAGATGCAGGTTTGTGTAAAACAGTTTTTAAAACCTCTTCAACGGCTGGCAAAATTAACTTCTCTCCGATAGTATGCGGTTTTCCGGATTTTGCTATAAGTAACGAGATATTGTAAGACGCCCGCAAACCATCATCATTTCTTTGTGACGTCGAAGCGAACATTCTGTCCAGTGTAGGTCTCTTCTGAAATTTATCTTTGAGTGTTTGAAAGTAGTACAAATCTTTCTCTCTTTTATCAGGGTGGCATCTTCTCAGATGATCTTGCAGTTTAGATGGTTTCATAGCGTCATTGCCCAAAACTTTGTTGCATAAAAGGCACATAGGCGATTGTTTGTCCGGCAATGATGGAATGAAGCCAAATTTCAAATAATCAACACTGTACTGTCTCTACATTTCTTTTTAGATTCGGACATGGCATCAGTCATCTGTGGGCAAAATTAAATTATTTAAATAAGACAGAAAATCAAGCAGCTGTATATTAAAAATATTTTTTGATTTTTCCGAAAACATTCCATAATTCGAACATCTTCTTGCTACAATTAACTCGAATTACGGAGATTGCACTGTAATTATATTTCCGATTGCTAAAACTTTCAAAAAGAAACTATTGAGGAGTACTCGTGTAATTTTGCATGATTGAATATTTAACTACTAATAACTAAAGTCATGATTGGCGTAATTTATCTATCTTTGCTAACTACGAGTACAAAACTGAAATTTAATAAAAAATAATGTACTTACTTTTCTCCAGCACTCTCAAACAAAATAACACTGACTCACTATAATTTGTGTGAGATACTATCTGTTTATATTTTTTAAAATATTTTCTTAGCACTTTCCTTTTCAAGATTCAGGAAACGAATAAACGTATTTGTCCCACATTCGTATTTATAGAGTGACAAATTGAACAAGTCAGTGCAAGGTAGCGAAGCTCTGAGACTGCGACTCTCAGGTTTTTACAATTTCAAAATGTATTGCGACCACAAAGCGAATACCAACATCCTACAACTTACACAATTTTATAAACATATATAATAAATTTTTTACTTCATAGGTACTTTTATAAATAATGTATATGTTTTGATATTATAAGATAGTATGATGTAAGTAAATAGGTACTATCAGTGTATGTGTTGAGATCCACTATCGTGGACCCCCATATTCATTTCATGGACCCCCAACTTTTTTCGCTGACGTAGACCCCTTGCAGGTTGTCATAGAGCCCTAGGGGTCGATATAGACCACTTTGGGAATCAATGATTTAGATCATGCCTCCTGCCTTCCCTATCGATTGAATAAACACTGTTATGTAATCTAAAAGAGGCCAATCAAGCAACCATCCCACTTTTTGTCGCTTCTTCTGTGTTGAAGCCCGATGTTCCCTTCAGCCCTACTTGTGCTTCCAGGGAGGGTTTTACTATAAGCTTTTGCTGAACAGGTATGTAGGATACAATCATTTTTACCTCCCACACCTGCTGGCAAGGGATTTGGACTCTCATCTTTTCCATTCCGTGGAGCAGACCTAACCAATTAGTCTACAGCAACAGCTGCAAACCAATCAGTGGCGAGAGAAGGATTGAATTTGCCGATCCTGAAAGTTGGTTGGCAGCTGGTGCTATATACTGATTGGTTACATCGGCTCCACGGATGCGGGTTTGAATACCACCGGCGTACATTTTTCCAATCTCTCCAGTTGTTGTTTACTAAACACATTAGAATGCGTTCATCCGAAAAATCGTATACAGGTTACTGTCCTCGCCCGGTGCTACCGTGGTGTGTGCCCACGAGACGGCATAGTGCAACTAGAAATCGACTGGTGATACATTACAAATCCGGTTAGTTTCACTTGAACGCCGCCAGATGGGTTACCAGGGCAGCTTGAGAGAACAAGGTCTCTAGCAGTTGATCTTGAAAGTTAGTCGGCAGCTGGAGCTGTAGTCTAATTGGTTAGATCGGCTTCACGAAATGGAAGAAATTCGAGACCCACCGGCGCCCATTCTTTCGTATATCTCAAGTTGTTGCTTACTAGTCGTAGATTTTCCTTTAAAATTTAGAACGATAGATAAATGTTATCGTTACGCGTCCTCATTTCTGCTGTCTGGGCTCAGCGGCTAGCATGTCGGTCTACATAAGAGCCCTGGCATTACTGGAGCATGACGCCGTGCTGCGCTGCCTCGTCTGATGCGTCCTGCCATCATTGGCCTGGGAGAGGTGACGTTGCCAGGTGGACTAGTAAAAATGTCTATGGACTAATTAAATGGGCCTGTTTGACTGACTTGATTTGTTTAGTTTCCTTGTTATACATATTCGCAACTAACTTCTTTGGAAAATTGTTTCGTGCTTTTTGGGCAACTCGACAGCATGGTCTAGGTCTAGGCTTTCTCTCTCGGACAACAAACGAAAGCATAACAACTATCCTTAACCCAGGATATAAGGCATATGGTGATGTCTTGTTCCTATAGGATCTAACTTGTGCCGGAACATAATTCTTTATGAACTGATGACGTTGATGCGTGGGAAGTGCAGAGTACACTTTCTTGACGCCATTTTGTCAAATCATGATATTCTTGACCTACCTAAAATTATATCGTCAACACTAGGAGCAAGCGAAATCTGGAATTAGACATGAAATAGATAAAAATTTGCATCAGGCCCTTACACTTGAATATAAAATTGAGGTAGGTATTTATGCGTTTGATTTTTGTTCTCGGTATCTAGGACACATCGAATAAAAATTCAACAGAATGTAGAGCAGCGTAAATGAAAAATATAAACAATTGCTTATTGACAAATACCCATCCATATTGTTTTCTAAATTGCTTTCACGACCTAAACCTTGAACAATAACAACCAATTCATGCACTTGCACGTTTGAAAATATAGCCTGCTATCTGTACAAACTATAAATAACACACGCACCAAATATTTCTAAACATTTTTTCATGGACACTGAGCAATAACAGCGATGGTAGTAAAGTTGAAATGCAATTGTATGGCCAATAAAAGTTGATAACATTTTTTCCTCCCGACTGAAATTAAAGAAATTTCTCATTTGCTCTCCATTCGATATTTTCACGTCAAAAAACATACAATTGAAAATTGTGCACATTCAAAATATTTGTTACATCATTGTTAACTTGAACGAGAGATAGGGATGTTTTATTTAATCCATATACAAAATGTATGTAGCATAGGAATTTAATTATAAGCCAGAGATCAATTGAGGAACGATTAAGTTATCAACGCAAAAATATAGTATTCATGTGTATCGATTTCATTACCCCCAATTTTAGATTACTGACCCGTTCGAAAAATAAATAGAGGAGGGGCTTTTTGAAAAGCACTGTATACCTCTCCATTTGATATGAAGCTATTGAAGTTTCAAAAACAGGCTTACGATGTTTGAGGCTACAATCTACTAGTTCAAAACCCACACACAAATTTTGTCACATGTCATTATTTAGTCGCAAAGAAAAAAAAAAGATACATATCATACAGTGTTTCTAGGTCTGTAGCTGCAAGTAATATATTGGACCTGGAACATTTCACAAAATTATTTAGTAAATAGAAGTCAAAAAACTAAAGTTGGAAATATTATGTCAAGCGTTCAAAATATATCAGTAGGTGTACCACAGGGGAGTAAATTAGGGCCGTTACTATTTATTATTTATATAAATGATATCGCTGACATAATAGAACACTGCAAAATTCAAATATCTGTGGACGATACTTGATATATATATACAGGGTGACTTTGAAGTTGAGTCATTAATTTTCAGATAATGATTGTAGAAGGAAGATAAACCAAAATATGTGTGTAAAAATAAAAAAAAAAAAAAATATTACCTTGTTTTATAAAGTATCCTCCCGACAAGTATTTCAGTGCGGACCTGTATTTGATCGTGAGGTCTTGGAGCACCGGCATGCCGTCCCCTGTGAGGTCTTAAGTCACCTGATTCACGAGCCCATTGTACTACATTAACAAATGCACGAGGGGTTGGTTGTCACGCGTTACCGACTGACACTGACTGTATACAACTGAATAAAATAATTGTAAAAACATCGTTCCAAATTCTTTCGCTTTTTTGTTTCCGATGCGATGAACCGATAAGGCGGATTATATCCGTTGTTGCCAAACACGAGCACATAATATTATTATTGAGACAGGGCGGTACTCAAACTTCCAAAGGGCTATAACTCTGTTACTTTAATTTTACCAGAAAAATGGTAAAGGAAAAAAACATTTCTTTTGATCAGATCTACTCACTGTTAAAATAAATGACTCAACTTCGAAGTCACCCTGTATATATATATATATATAGCACATAAGCATTTGGACACTGCTTTAGAACAGTTGAATAGTGATATTAAAAAAATTATAAATTGGTTGAATGTCAATAAACTTGAATTAAACACTAATAAAGCAAAATGTATGTCAATAGGGAAACATACGAGTATTATAGGTGACAATACAATTAGGCTCATGATTAATGATGAAAAACTTGAAGTAGTCGAATCATTTAAATATCTGGGTATATATGTGGTTAGTAAACTACTGTTTCACGAGCATTATGAATACATTATTTCAAGAATTTCAAAAAAATAAATTACTTCTATAGAGTTTCCCATAATCTTAGTATGTATTCCAAAAAAAAATGTGTATAACATTATAATTCTTCCCGATTATTTATATTGTCCAACCGTCTTGCTTACAGCAAATGAAAATATATTTTCAAAATTACAAATTCTAGAAAATAAAGCTATGACAATCATTTTAAATAGAAATATGCTAGGATTAAGTCTATGTTAGAAGAACTACAGTGGTTAAATGTGAAACATTTCATATGTTATTTATTTCTCGTTTTTATATTTAAATTAAAATTTCATTTATTACCTCCACATTTAGAAAACTTCATAAAATTAAATAGTCATTATCATAACTACGAAACTAGAGGCAGTATAGATTTTCATCTGCAAAATTGTAATAGTAGCATAACTAGTAAATCAATATTTCAAAAGGGAGTATTTGCATTTAATAAATTGAATAATCATATTAAACAGTGTTCGAATTTAAAAATGTTTTAGCTGAAATTAAAAAAGTATCTTTATGAATAATCAAAATGCATGTAATTTTAATAGACAAGAATGTAAAATTACAGAAAATGGATTGAAGAAAAATATGTAAGCGAATAATTATACAAAATTGACATTGTAGCATTAATGCTAAATAAATCTTCAACAAACAAACAAAAGGTAATTCCTCGATTCCGACAATTATTCAGTCCGATGAATTGGCCGACTAGATCGTGTGATATCACCCCTCTGAGCTTTATTCTTTGGACAGATGTCTACATGAAAAAGGAAGTTCGATTGAGGAATTTAGCAATCAGCATACTCCGGTTATTCAATAAAATACTGCTCGATCTGCAGGGACGCCTCATCAAAAATTGGAATCCGGAAGTGGACTACGTTACCACACTGACTGAAAACATTTGAAGGACTAACTTCTAAGAAAACAAGTGTCGCGGTTGCTTCTTTTGTCGATTGTTTCTACTTTTCATTGAAATAAGTACCTATGAATTAACCACCCATTAACTATATCCATACAAGGTAACCACAAAATACGATATAAAATACTATATGGCAAAATTTGATTTTCGTAAAAATCTAATAATTTTTGGAATTTTCATTATTAATAATTTTTTGTCGTTATACTGACCTACATTTGTATCACTTCATTCCTTATAGGTCTTTCTTAGGGCTAACTTATGTCGAACCTATTCTTATATGAACTGATGATGGCATCGCATGCATAGTGTAGTCTCAACTTACTTGATGCCATTTTCTTTTTCAGAATACGTGTACAATCCGAAGGAGGCAAGGTTACGAAAAGCAATGCGAGAGGCCAACAGAGACAGACCATTCCTTATAGGTCTTTCTTAGGGCTAACTTATGTCGAACCTATTCTTATATGAACTGATGATGGCATCGCATGCATAGTGTAGTCTCAACTTACTTGATGCCATTTTCTTTTTCAGAATACGTGTACAATCCGAAGGAGGCAAGGTTACGAAAAGCAATGCGAGAGGCCAACAGAGACAGACCAATGGGACCCGGAATAATGCTGCCCAGACCAAATGCCCGAAGAGCAGACTGGGTACAACCGCGTACGCCTATGACAGCCCAGGGACACAGGGATGATCATCTTATCATGGTGAGACAGAGCATTATTCAAAGTGTTTCTCATCTTTAAAGAAACAATCAGAAAAATAGAACTATCAAAAATTTTTACGGATCGCTTATGAATACGAGGGTGGTCTGAAAAGTTTCCGACCTGATAAAGAAAAGATATTTTTTCTGATTTTTTTCTTATTTTCCAAGATAGTCTTCTTGTAACTTCTCCAAGCGATGTTACCATCTCTTAAACCTGTAAAAATAGTACTCGGCGTTTTTCTCTGCAAAATAATTGTTCACAAAGGCGATTGCCTCTTCAGTTGACGAAAATCTCTGTCCTCCGAGCGCAGTTTTTAGATGAGGGAACAAAAAGAAGTCGCTTGGGCTAGATTTGGTGCGTAAGGCGGATGGTCAAGCAGTTCAAACCGTCATCTTTGGATTTTCACCATGGCAACCGCTGAGTGCGAGACGGTGCGTTGTCTTGGTGAAACAGGATTTTATTTTGATGAAAATGTGGCTTATCAAGAAATGATGCGTAGTATGCTCCTGTAATGGTTTTCCCTTTTTGAAGATTAAAATAACTCCATGACTATTCCAGAAAACCCAGCCGAAAAGACAGTTTTTGCTTTTTTTGAGCCTGTTGTCCCATTGCAGTCCACTGTTTGGACTGTATTTTTGTATTGGACGTATAATGGTGTATCCAAGTTTCATCTACAGTAATTAATCGGTGCTAAAACTCGGATTTATTGAAAATTCGACCACGTTTTTGGTCTAACGTGAACAAACGCGGCACCCAATGCGCGAACAGCTTTCTCATGCGCAAATGTTGACTTAATATGTGACAAACACATTCTTTTGACATGTTCATAACCTCTGATATCCCTCTCACTTTAATTTGGCGGTCGTCTAGTACCATTTGATGATTTTTGGCGATGTTTTCGTCGGTGGTTTGACGTCCTGAACGTTTATCGCCTCCCAACCTCTTACGGCCACGTTTAAATTCAGCTCCCCAAAATTTCACAGTGATAAATGGTGCAGAGTCCCCATACACAAAATCCAACTCATCTTTGATTTAATCACAGCTCGAAACTTCATTTTGTCCATTTTTACAAAATCACTCACATCAACTCACTCAAACGACTGTTACATAACAACTGCGCGTCCAAAATGGCTAAAACTTTGGTGAGTAACTGTCAACAGATGAACAACGAAATTCACTAGCGTGTGCTGCCATGCTCACGTTGAGGTCGGAACCTATCCAGATCAACCTCGTACATATTACTAGACAGCATAAAAACAGCTGAATCGTACATTCTAGATTTTGTAAAAAAATGCAAAGCGCAAAATAAATATATATGTATATATATAGAGAGAAAATGATCATGCGGAGAAAGCTATATAACAAAAAGTAGAAAAATAATGGGCAAAATCCGCAAAAAAGAGGAAAGGGGATTCGAGCAGAAAATAGGATAGGTAACCCGAGCGATACGTATTTCTGCTGGTTGGCTTCATCAGGCCCGAAATGAATGCACATATGAAACTACAAAAGTAGATACACATGCCCACACATCCGGAAACGGGTGTAACCTGAGGAAACGAAGATGGAGAGGGAAAAAACGACACACGAAGTCCACAACAAGAGCCAACCTACACATTGTAGTATAAAATGGCTAAATTTTCAAGGAGACATCTAACCACAACCACGCGGCCGGTTAAATCCACTTGCTAAGTGACTTCAGGCCCAAAGATCCTTTGGGCTTGAAGTACCACAGCATTATATATATATATATATATATATGCCGAATTTACAGACGTATATTTATCGTTTTTAATACGAAACGGTGAAAGCACTATCGGCCATGATGTGACGTCATACAAATTGTAAACAAAGAAACGTCATCTGTATGTCACTCGTGGACTATGTTCTTTGAATATTCCAAAAAACATCTAATCAAAGAAAAAAGTTATCGTTTTCTCGTTTTGTTGAAAATAAGAATCATATGCGTAAGATTCGTAAAAGCAGAAAGCACAAATTTGCCGAAAATTGACACATTGATGATTGGTAATTCTTTTGACTTCAACCCATATTTCTGCTCTACTGAGCTGAGGAACGTCAAGACTTCTATGTAGATACAAGGGATCTGATATAATGATAGACATAAAAAAAGAATAAGTGACACACTTGCATGATTTTTGGATCATCATGGAACGCAGCATTTCCGCATCAACAGTTTCGAGATAGTTAACTATAACTTGAAAAAACGAACGAACTGACGGTCACTTGATGACTTAGTTACCCAACTCCCAACTTCAAAGTTGAAAATCAGGGCTTTGGTGGCTTGGTGTTGTGAAACTATAATCTCTCCCTCGTTGGATAAAATAACCTTATAGCCTCTTAGTTTTTTTACAGGAGTCTTGCCTTATACTGTTCCAAAAAATTTTACACATACTAGACAGCTACAAAGACGTGCAATTTCTGTTTTTGGAAGCAACAGTTGCCATGGTATTTTTCGACACTGTTCACTGTTTACAATAAACAGGAATGCTCTTGACATTTCAAACAGCGATACAACTTTACAGTTTTAATACAGTTGGTAGCGATTGCTTACTTTATATGGCGCTCAAAGACGTTTTTTTTTTTTATATCGGAACAGCCGCGCAGGCAGAAGCCTAAATGCCGGAACACCGCGGCTGCTATGATGATCCCAAAGAAATTTTGTTAATACGATTTTTGAACTGCCTAAGGTTAGTAGAACTGGGAAAAGCTTCCTCCCGTAGATTGTTCCACAATCTAGACACCCTCGGGACAAAGGAGCGGTCGTATCGGCCAGTTCTGGATGTACGAAGTTTGACACGGTTAGGATGGGATGCCGAAATCAGGCGGGTCTGTCTGGCTGGCGCATCGCGCGGCGGCATCATGGAAGAGAGCTCTGAGGAGCAAAGCCCGTTGGTGTAGCGATAGAAAAGAGCTAGATCGCCGACGGCCCGCCGGTGCGAAAGAATCCCGAGACTGTCTGTTAGAGAAGAGTCATCGATCAGTCGGACCGCCCTCCTCTGGACAGCATCGAGCATGGACAATGTAGTCGGGGCGGCAGCACCCCAAATGTGTGAGCAATACTCGAGGCTAGGCCTTATCTGGGCCTTGTATAGAGTGAGAAGGTCATGCGGAGAAAAGTACTTCTTAGCACTAAACAAATAGCCTAGCTTTTTCCCAGCAGCTGCAGCTATTGAAGAGATGTGTTCGTGCCAGATCAGGTCCTCGGTGATCTGGACTCCGACCAGCCAAAATGAATGGCTCTTTGGTAGAACTCAACCGTCCATCGAAACTGTATGAGCGCTAGGACGCTTTTTGTTCGTCAAGGTACAGTACTGTGTTTTGGAAGCATTGAACTGTACAAGATTGTTGCCTCCCCAAGCAGTGATAGCCTCCAGGTCTCTTGTCAGAGAAGAAGTCGTCGCTAGTCTTCTTTTTTCCAGCTCAGCGGCAGAGATCGGCTTGTCACTCTGAATTCCTGCATGTAGAGTGCTGTCATCAGCGAAGCTGTGGATTGGGTTGGTCGTGCAGGAAAGGAGGTCGTTGATATATAAGAGAAACAGTGTTGGAGCCAAGACCGATCCCTGGGGAACACCCGCGTTGACGTTGTGGGATGAAGAGGAGAATCCGTCAATTATCGACGGATATCTTGCGGCCAGAGATAAAGTCAGCCACCCATCTGCAAAGCTTTTCTGGGAGGCCGTAGGATGGAAGTTTGCTTAAGAGGGCAGCGTGCCACAGCTGATCGAACGCTTTCGTGATGTCAAGAGCAACGACATGAGCCTCACCATGAGACTGGATGAGTTTACTCCACAGTTGCGTGACGTAAGCTAGGAGGTCCCCTGTGGATCGTTGGTGCCGGAAACCGTACTGCCTGTCGCTAATCAAGCTGTGACGTTCGAGGTAGTCCAGAAGCTCGCGATTTATGCACCTCTCCATCACTTTACTTATAACAGAAAGCAGAGCTATAGGCCTGTAGTTGTAAGGGTCGGTTTTAGATCCTTTTTTGGGATGGGCTGTACATGAGCAAATTTCCAGTTTTCTGGGAAGGTGCCGGATTCATAAGATATCTGGAAGAGACGCGAAAGAACTGGAGCAAGCTCCGCTGCACATCTCTTCAGTACAATGGCAGGAATCAAGTCCGGACCAGAAGCTTTGTTGATGTCGAGCGACCAGAGCACTCGTCTTTCGGTCTTATGCCTGAATGTTACTTCCCGCATAGTGTGGGGAACGTGTATACTACTTCCACCCCCTGCTTAGCAAAATATGACTTTATATACAAAGGGGAATGCCTTTGTATATAAAGTAGTGACAAGGTAAGATACTGTTCTAGTAGCATGCCGTCTTCAACAGAATGTATAGACATCGCGATATCGTATTAAAAGCGACGCCGAACAACTAAATTACATATTAGATGCGTGTTCTAGTACAGTTAGCTAAGTTAGTAAACTATGATATATGTAAACGGAGGCTATGCATATATGCGTGCTCAGCATATCAACTTCGCGATGTCAATCAATAATGTTTAGTAATAGTATTGCTGCAAATTAGCTCTGTAGATTACGTGGATGACAAGAGTCGCCACATACGCTGCAAGCCTTGACAAAGAAAACCAATCGGATACTTAAAAAAAAGGAAATTTTTCAAGTTTTGACCATGCAATTGAAAGAAAACTGAAAACCAACAACAATGAACACAAAAACAAGGCATGTGGAAACAGAGTAAACCATAAAAAATTTTGAACATCCTATATGCAAATCGTGTGAATTATCGCTTACATTATTCGATGAATTCAATTCAATTTAATGCCTTCCAGACAGAATTGCAATTTGATGGTAGCGATAGATTTCTTGATGTACCGTTTTTAAAAATCCATAGCTTTGTTATTTGTACATTCCAAGAGCAGAAATTAAACTTTATTTCTGAAGTAATCATAACTGATTTTTATGCTGGATTCCAGAAGCTGTATCTATTAGAACCTGATCTTGGATTTCGTGCCAAGCTGT